GAAGAGCTCCCGGGGAGGGTCCTCCCATACATTACCTATACGGGTATGTGCCGCCCAACGGGGTCGTGATTTTGAAGCTCCTGGTTTAGAACGGGGTATCCATTTCAGAGGCGTTTTCTAGAACGGGGTATAATATTTCGAACGCACGAAAGCTCCAGTTTTTTAAGCAGTCATTTAAAATTATTCAAGGACAGATTGCTTTTAAAATACGGTGCAATGCTTTAACAAGCAAACTGTTATACTCTTGTTGCACCCTAGAACGGAGTATACAAAATTGGCCCATTTCTAGAACGGGGTATCAGTTTTAGGGGAAATTTTTTTTAGAACGGGGTGCCAATTTGGAGTCCCGGGCGGCACATACCCACCCAAAAAATACCCAAGTGCCACCCCGGGGAAGAGCTACCCCACATTAATTAAGCGCTTTTTTAGCTTTTTAACTTTCTACAACCTGCCCTTTCTAGTCAAGTTGTCAAGAAGTAGTTGTAACAAGCAATGAAGAAAAATGAATGCATACAATCGAGAAAAAGTGCCTTTCAATACCTACACAAGTTTTTCCCGTCCTTGATAGATGAGCCAATCTGCTAGCCTGATTCTCACACGTCCGAGGTCGTCGGACGTCTGAGAATTAGACTACCAATCTGCCAATCTGCTTGTGTTTCCAGTAAAATCGTCAATGTTTAGTTATATTTAGATCAGGAAACCACGTGCGTGTCAAAAGCTCCATGGCGGCCCTGGGGTTGGCACATGCCCGAACCCAGGGCCACGGAAAATTTGCTAATGCCACACCTCCGGAACTGACAAGGCGGGCAAATGCCGCCCAGTAGCCCGGGGAAGGAAGGTCGCAGCTAGAATTGACTAATATAATACAGTACTAATGCATGGAGTGGCAGAGTGGCCATGACATGGAGATAAGTAAAAGAAACATGCGAGAGCACGGCTCACAATATTTCGCCTTTTTCGAAAACAAAACCCCATTTTATGCATGACCAAGTTATAATTTGTGAATAAAACCCCCTCGCCCACCTTGAGGTGTTTGCGCGCCCACCAAACAGTGCCAAAACCGCCAGGCTACGCTTTCTTGTTAAAGAAGTTTTATTTAGGAATCTCAGAAACAATTTTCATGTGATAAATGAAGATATTAACTATGAGTTGGAATTTCTTGAAAAACTCGCTCTAGGAAATTATAATGAGAACCCACCCATCATCTTCAAAGAGATTCTGAACAAAAAATGCACGCTTTGATTAAAGCAACCAAAAAATTGTCCGGCCGCAGATTAATCTTTGCTACTGAAAAGTACAAACGGGCAAAGTCACTCGTCCTGTCCAGAGACAGATCCAAGTATTTTTTATTTGGAGGTCCAATCTTGGATTCAGAAAAATCAGAAAACCGGTACTGTAGAGTACTAAAGTCATGACATCATAAAAATTAAGTTTCTGAAATTCGTCAGGATATTCTGAAAGAACAAAGTCCAAGAGGCCTACTTACCAAAAATGAGCATTTTGGTTAAGCTACTACTAGGCTATATGTTATAGCCCACTAGTAGCGAAAAGCGCCGCTTTTTCGCGAAAAAAAGGATAACTGTAAAGTCTAGCTTTAACTAGCTAAAGGTGTTTTGTATCGATATTTTTTACCAACTAGTTGGATTTTACTAAAACAATTATTCCTCTCGCCCTCTTGGCGTCTGAGCCAATGGCCTATTTGGCCTTCGGCCTCATGGGCTATTGACTCAGAGCACATTTGGATTCGAGGAATAATTGTTAAATATTTCCTTTTTCACTCTAAGGCGTACGTAGGCTAATCAAATAGTAGAAACTTGTTTCCGCCACTACGATACTCTCGCAAAAATTCGTAGTAGAATGACGACCGCTTTCACATTTCCAGCCAAAATGACGCTGGTTTCCGCACGAGCACTACCTACTATTGAGAAAATCTCGTACTCGTAGTCTTTTTTGTATTAGAATCTAAAGGTCGCTATTGGCAGAAAGTTTTTGACGAGAAATTTAAGGTTGCGCCAGGAAAGAGAGTTAAGAAATTTCCTCTTCTTCCTCGCCCAAGCCCATCGCATTCTTGCACGCCTGAAGTTCCCCTCTCCTTCCACCTTAAAAATTAACGCGACAGCTAGACAGGCTAACCAAATGGTGACTGGATCAGAAAATTAAGACCACTCAAGGAAACAGTGAAGCAAACTCCCCTTTTTCCTCGCCCAAGCCAATCCCGTTCTCGCGCGCCTGTATTTCCCCGGCATTTGTTTTCACCCTAACACGCCTGCTTAATACGCAAACCAAATAGTAGTGGCAGAATCGTTTCGCACTTTTGCAGTGAAATAAATATAAATTCAAGACATAAGCTAAGCCTTTTATTCGAGACTTTAATGAATTTCTGGAAATATATTAAGTACAATTCTCAAGGAAAACTTTTGAAGTTTACAGTTAGACTGTTGAGGATACGTCAGTAAAAAGCACACTATAAAAATCTGATCTCTGAACAATTCAACGAATCAAATATTTTGAAATGCATGAGAATATTAAAGCACACTACCCTGGGTAGTTATTACAATGATAATTAACTACCCATAGCTAGAGCCATATTATAAAGGCTCTTGGCCATAGTTCCCGTGTCTATAGATCTTCCGTTACTTAAAACTACAAAAAAAGGAAAATGCTCCCTATTATATTAATAGTAGGTTTCGAGAAAAAAGGACTGGCAAGGTTGACCTTATTAATACAAAAATGCTTGAAAACAATAAATAAGCACTTACTTTTTAAATTTTTTTCGCCGTTAGCCACGTTCTCCACGAGCAGCGAACTGGGTACAAATGTTATGCCACCAGGTTCAATAGACCTCTTTTGCTTGTATGTTTTGTTTTCCCAATACAGGTCACGCTATGATACCCTAGGGAACTGTTCCTTTAAAATTTCGCCTTGTTCACGTGCATATCTACGCATAAATTATGAGAAGACAAAGGGTTAAGTTCCCCTGGGATTTCTATTGGGAAAACAAAACATACAAGCTAAAAAGGTCTATCCTCGGGTTAAAATAATATTCGTATACACAGGTGGAAAATTTGCAAAAGCTATGGAGATCTTTAACTCAATATTTTGTTAACTTATTAAATTTTCTGAAAGTGTTTCAAAACTGAAACTGGAGTTATTTTCAGCGCCACCTGCAAACGTAATTTTACTCGGGAGCTCATTACAGACGAACTTCCATGGCCGCTTACAGGAGGATCAGCTGTAGCTTGAAAAAATAAATTAAAAAAGCTAAAAAATTCTTGCCAACGTTTCCTATTAAGGATAAGTAAAATCCTTATAAATAAAACAAAAAATATCATGGCTCAGACATTTGACAGCGGGTGGACCTCTTGAATTGCCTCAAATCTTGTCCAATGCCTTCATTACTACAACTACCAGAATCCTTACGTTTGTTGTTTTCTAGTGAAAATTAGGGCTATTGTTGTTTAAACATCAGCGGGATTGACAAATTTCAATAGGAAAGAAAAAAAACAAATGAATTCTGGTAGTTGTATAGTCAAATGTCGTCATCATGGAAATGGCCTATTACAATATTTTGTGAGAAATTACAAGCATGTCTGCAGTGAAAGGGGCACTGTCACGCGCGAGATTAAGACGAACCCAGAGCTGCAAGTAATGAAAACCACACGGCTAAAATTTACCGTTTTTGTAGCAAATGTACACAAAAATGACATATATTTAAAGCCGTTAACCAAAGATTGTAATTAGGTTGACTTTTCGCATAAAACCCTAAGCCACATTATTGGCCGTTTTCATACTAGAGACGGGTTATTCGTCTGAGACGGGTTATCCGTTGGATACCGTAAAATTCCGAAAAGAAGCCCCTCCATGTATAAGCCCCTCCAAATATAAGCCCCCCAGACTCGTAACGCAAAAAAACCCTCCGTTAAATCGCCCCTCCAAATATAAGCCCCCCTGGGGGCTTGTACTTGGAAATTGCCCTCAAATACAAAGTAAAACAAAGAAAAAACGGTCAATTTCCTTCCATTTATAAGGCTAGCTCAATCGATTTTGAAACGCAAATTTCTCTCCGTAAACAAGCCCCTCAAAAAGGGCCTTTGAAAAATATAAGCCACGGGGCTCATTTTCGGAATTTTACGGTAATTCGTGTCAGACAGATAGTACGTCTCTGACTTTATACATCTATTTGTCCGTCAATTTTGACAAATTTTAAAGACGGATAATCCGTCTCTAGTGTGAAAACGGCCATTCACATACGAATTCGCCGTACTGATCACTGTATTTGTTTTTAAAGGTGTTGCAAAAGCCGCTAGGAGCGAGAGAAGAAGTTCGCCTATAACTTCAACAAATTTATGACAATATTTCCCGTGCTTGACAGTATACCCTTTCAAAAAAGTTAAAGAAGAATGTACATTTGGTTTGTACAAAAGTACATTCAGATGAAAAACAAAACTAAATTGGTTGAGTGAAAATGTAAGTATCAGTGAAATGCCACAGTAACGTAATCTAAGGTCGTATTTTAACTCTTAAATAAGGATGTGATTGAAGGGAAGCTTTTTGCTACCGCTACACATCAACTTGTTATCTGCTGCACCCGGTTTAATAACTCTCTGTCTGACTCTAGGTTGATTACTTGACTTACAGGCCGAACAGCAGGAGTTGAAGCGGGTTTGTTGTCCCTTGTCTCCTATATTCTTCAAGGAAGGCCAACAACTATCATGTAACATACTGTTAGCTAAACAGCTTGCTGCATCAGCTATTTCCTACGATCAGTGCAGCAAAACATCTAGCTAGCAACGCGTCACATGCAACACATTCTGCCTTTCTCTGCAACCTTCACCTTGCACACACGTCAAACGTTATAAAAACAGCTCCCATAAAACTGAAACTCTAAACTCATGTCGCCATAAAAGAAGCGTTAATTTTTTTTTCAATGTTGATGTTTTACAAGATTTTCATATCTTGTTTCGGAAGAAAATTCATGTAACTAATCTAAGAGAATAGTTTTATCCAATTGCAATATCCCCACCATAGAGGGCTAAAATAAACATGATAGTAAAACCAAACAGCATGCCAAAGTTCTGAAGGGCAAAGGCCTTGATGTTTTTGCGAATTGAACCTTGTCCGATCTTAACTGACATCTCACAAGCTTCCTCTAACTGCAATAAAAAAGGAATAACAGTATAGTCATAACAATGTCCGCATGATGATTAGAATTGACATTTTCTTATGGGTGTGGACAGTGTGAAGGGCTGGGGTGTGAGGTGTCCTTCTCCAATTCAAAAAATAATTGAGGGTGCCCAGACAAGCATCTTGTACTAAAAATACTATATTTTTGGCCAAGCTATGAAGAAAGACACCAGTTTGAAATCTGTGAGGAAGCTGTAAAATATGTACTCAAGGCAACCTAGCATTAAAATATGATCTGAAAGACCCCTGGGCGGTTGTTTAATTTTAGGGGTCCCAGAGGAGGTGTTTAATAGATAAGATACTTTTAAAAGAGAAAGGCTTTTACTCTCATAACTGCTTTTTCTACGGTTTATAAATAGCAAAATATCCAGTCTAGGCCCAGCTGCTCTTTCAAAAATTACATCACTCTCGATGTCAGAACCTTCATTCAGACTCAGTCAGGGTCATTGTGCATGTGCTGTCATGTACTTGACATTAAACAAGATGCAAAGCGCAATCCTTGTTTAATAACAGCACGAAACTGACTAAACTGAATGATTTTGCTCCTTTTTTGCTTTTTCAATTTCTAGTATTTTGAAGTAACTTTCATGGTGGCGTCTCTTTGACAGGAGTCGTTTGTTAGATATGAGTGACTAATGCATACCTAAAAGCAAAAGAGAGGCGTGTATTTGATAGGAGGCATCAATTAATTCACTTACAGTAAAGTATTGCCCTTTCTTGTACATTCGTTTTGGCAGCTTTTCCCCCCATCACCAAACAAACCGCCAATCACGCAGGCTACATTGCAACTGGCAAGACTTATTTGACTCGTATGTAGTGCAATGTTGCACAAGAGACAAAATACCCATAATGACCAGCGGAATAAAGCACTGTAACTCAATTAAAAGAATGATTAGCTCTAAGAGAATTTTGAATTTATCTGATAAAGAATGGTGCACTTACCATGTCAACAAGAGCAATATAAACAAACATTCCACCTGCAACAGCATAGATCCACTTGACAGCAGATGTTGTATAACCCAGTAACAATCCAATGACAAGCCCCAGATAACAAGAGCATGCTGAGAGAAAGTTGAATCCCATTGCTGCTTTGTATGACAGCCCAGCATTAAGAAGAACTGCAAAGTCACCTGAGGAACGATTCAAAAAAAGTAACTTACTTCACTGGTTCAAAACCGGATCACGATCGTGAGGACTTGACACTCCATCTCAACATACCAGACTCTATAGTATGCATCCTATGAATTTTTCCCGAGGCATCAAATATATCTAAAACTTTTTTAAAATCATATTCTGCATTCCAGTTACTACTCCTACACGTCTTTTTGTGCTAAGCAACCAATCCTGACTGCATTTAAAACTGGATTATCCCATGCTGTGCATTGATCCCTTAACTGAGAAGGCTGCATGTGTAGTGTGTACACGACACAAATTCAGACAGGAAACTTACACTTACCCAGTTCATGAGGGAGCTCTTCACAGAATATTGCAAGTGCAGTGCTAACACCAACAAGTGTCGAACTAGAAAATGACGCACCAATCGCCAACCCGTCAATAAAGTTATGAAGGCCATCACCGATTATGATCATCCATGCAACAGGAGCAATTTTCTTCTTCCCCACTGTTTCCTTGCCATTTTCTAAAGAAAGTTGTGTCTATAAAAATAACAATATTAATACTTTTAGACCAAATAGTGAAAAACGAAAAACAATTAACAGTAAAATCCAATTTTTGGCTGGTGCACCATCGATACCTGCAAGTGAATAGCAAGTCTAGGGTGACGTCACAAAGAACACAACATAGGGGCTTCAAGCAAAGACTGTGAAAGGTTCTAGTACGGTGACCGAAAGTACTTTTTTCCGCCACCCGTCAATGCCTCAAGTCAAAGAGTTTAAGATACCACGACGGCTATAGCAGTGAAAACATCGCTTAAAACAGCGGCACCCAACGAGAATATAGTTCAAAACCACTTAAACATAGCATTGTTAAACTTATTTTAGTATTTAAACGGTAGATATAGGCATATTTTATTCCCCTAAAAATTTTTCATCTGTTCGGATTTCCTAGCTGAAAGTCTAGTGATCCGAAAATTATAGGGTCCAAACTTACCTTTTCGACAATGTCAGCCAGAAAAAAGGCTCCCGAAAATTTTAAGTGACCTTTTTGGGGTAAAACTCCGTTAAAAATGGGCAATTATACCATATTTTAGATGTTCGAAAATCCAAGGAGAGACAGGCAAGCAAGAAATTTTACAACAAATGTTCCGAAAATTCTCGATCTCAAATCGTCTTCCGAACAGATATTTTCCGAAAGTTGACGTTGGGTGCCCCTGTTAAAAGTTTATTTGCGCTCTTAATTCGTTAGCGCGATTATTTCAACTCGCTTATACTTTGTCAAATGTTGGCGCAATCTCCTGAGGTTAAAGCCGTGCAGTGACCCCTACGGCAAGGAAATGTTGAAAAACACATTCATAAAAAGAGGGCGAAGAATGGGCAAATTCAGGGCTTGCTTGTTTTTATGATCACTGAGTCTTATTCCCACAACTTGGTGAGATGATATCCCTTATGAAATATCCTCTTTCCCGTCAACTGTATTTTGCGTATTTGGCTGTATTTTTCACTTGGGTGTCGTGCTTGACACCGAAATTTGGGGCTCATGATCGAAAAATGAGCCTTCAGAAATTTCCAAGAATGACCAAAAAAGGATATCTAGCGATTCTGTTTCAAATAAACACTGGCGTTCTAAGCACGTAAAATACAACTAAATACCAAACGTACTTAGATACTACGGCCCGCCATGGTCTTCTGTAGAGCGTATTCACTCACGTGGCCAGCATCTATGCAAATTTATGGGAACAAAAGAAATTTCTTACATAAGAAAAGAGTCCAACATCCACAGGATTTGTTTGGAACGACTTGGAACACCAATATGGCCGCCATGACATCATGTGAATACGCTCTATGCGTAAAAATGCCTAATTTCACGAAAATGTCAACAAGCGAAGACGAACTTTTTTCCTCTCCGAGTTTGCCTACATTTGACAAAATACAGTACTGCTCAAAAGTAAGTTACCAGTCACGTCTCGTTTCCTGCGCGACGAGAATCGCGTCGCGCACTACGCGATTCTCGTCGTGCGCTATGAGAATCGCGTAGGTAGCGCGAGAATCGTTGAAGCGACACATCCAGCGAGAAACCAACCAAAAATTTCGCGTAGTGTTACTCAAGGACTGAGGAAAACGGGCGTTAGATTTTGGGTTAAGTTTCTTTCCAGAAGCTTTCTTTAAACTTGTCATTAGCACACTGTTTAATTGGAGTCTCTGAGTTTTCGGATTTGTTGGCGATAGACATTTCACACTGCAAGCGACTTGTAATAATCGCGAAAAAGTTTGAAAGAATGTGAATTGACTTATTATTAAAAATTAAGCGACGTTTTGACCGCTGTCGCCGTCGTAGTACCTTGAACTTAGAGGCATGAAAGCGTGGTGGGAAAAATTACTTCCGTACTAGACCCTTCGGTAGTCGTTCCTTGAAGTCCCTAATGATCCCTTACACAATTACCCAATAAAATGCAAACAATAGAACCACACAATAGTGCACATATTGACTTGGTATATCACGCACCACCCCATTCTTTTGGTAAAATCATTAGAAATGCTATGCAAACGTTCTTCCAACGAGGTTTTTTAATGGTAACACCACTGGGACTTTGTAAACAGATTTAAAATTTATGGTGACAAATAATCTCTTCACCGTCGTCTAGAAGTGAACAAAGGGTTGAAAAGTCACTTTCATGAAATGAAGTCTGGTGGGCAATTTTTTCCCATTTTCCTTTTCCCTCTCTTTAATATTAGTTACCACCATCAGAAAGTTCCAGATTGAGCGACATCCCAAAATGCAACTTGAACACTCATTCATACACATACAAAAAATTGTATTGCAATAGTTTTATTGTAACTAAAATAACTAAGTTGTTAATAAATGTTTGTGTGGACATACCTCATCTGAAAAGCCATTTTGTTTTGACCCATTTTCAAAAATTTTAACAGTTGGTAAAGGTGTGTTGATACATGTGCTATGATTGTTAAGAGCATGGTGATGATCAGGTTGCACATTATATAGCTGCAGCTGAACATCAGCGATACCTGCTCCAGGTATTTCACCCTTTGAATTGTCCTGGATATAACAAAAAGAACCAGAATAATCACAAATACATGTACAAGTAACTTGCATTGTAAACAGAAGGACAGATTAGTAATGCCATCTATACTATCTCTTTAAAGGCTACAAAAGAGTGTCACTGGGAATTGACAAGAACAAATTTAGTGTGAGGTCACTTGACTGCATGGTGCATTATAGCTATATATAGTGTGACTCATCACATCTGCTGGTACAGTATCTGTCCACCTGCAATACTTGTGGTTATCACTACCCCATATTAGTTTATCCAACTGCCTACCAATTTGTACAATTTTTCCCAGAATAAAGTAATACAGTGAGTCATAAACTTTTTACGAGTTTCTACTTTTATTATATAGCCTGATGTGAGTACTTGAGGGGCTTGGAGAATTCTTGAAAGTTATGCAAACCCTCAACTTTGTCTTATCTTTGCACATATACCTGTCTTAAATTTTCCCAACTGCACCCTCTTGTGTATATACATGTGTATATATCAAGCAAAACAAACACAGCAATAGTTTATGTTAATTGCTGTTGATTATTTTGGGAAACGAAGATGTACTCAACCTGTAAAAGTTACACTCCCTGACTGGTTAATGACCTTTCAAAGGGTTTACAGCCTCAAGTTTTAATTTTTTGGGAGTCTTGAAGTTTGCCATCTTTTTATCAAAAAATGTTTCAATATAAACATATAGACTTCGGCAATAATGGAAGCTCTCGTTTTTTGTAATTGGCCTGCTAAAATTGTATATTTAAAATTTTACAAGTAACTGTTGCACAGTTATCATAGCCACTGCAAAAATGAAAATGGTGTTGGAAACCTAACTGCAGTGTACATTCTGCTGATTATAATCTTCAACACTACTGAAAACCTTGACTTGTCTCAACAAAATAAATAAAATGGTTGATTTATTATTGCCACAGCACTACTTACCATTTCTTTTTGACTATGATCATCACATGTTGACTGCTCTTTAAACCTGACAATCATTTTCATTACATATTCCAAGAAAAAGAACAAGTATACTCCACTGACGATCACAAGGCATTTCCACAAATATGACATATCTCCATCAAGACCAAAACCAAATGTCTACAAGAGAAAGAGAAAAACGAATCACTGAGAATATTAAAATATTAATTTGGTCCTATCTTTTATTGGTTTTTACTCTTGTGTCAGGATCACAAGACACAGATCTAGATCATTTTCCCGCATATTTCTACCAAAATAGGACATATTTTTTTAAAAGATAAATTTATTAATTTTCAAGGAATCCATGCACACTCCCCTCCCCATTCACTACCTTTCAGTGCTCAAATGAATTAGGTACCATTTTTCCACAGCTGTAATTTGGAGCTTTATTTATTTCAAAGGAAGGTGCAAATAATAATAATACAATAATAATAATAATAATAATGATAATAATAATAATATCGATTTTATTAGTAGTACTTCCACCAGGTGGCTCTTTGCCTACTAATGCCCTAACTTAGTATATTACAAAAAATCAAGCCGATTTTAAATTAAAAATTAAAAATGACATGTACAATAAATTAAGGATAAGTACAAAAGATTTGATAAAAAATATGTACAATTAAAAGATAGCATGGTTAATAATAATAATAATAATAATAATAATAATAATCAGTCATACATTTTCTCGTTCAGAGAACATGAGCTTCTTCGCTAACCTAACAAACTTCTTATAGTCAGGCTCTTGCCTTAACCTATCAGGTAATGTATTAAATAATCTCGCTGCTGAGTCCTGAAAAGTGTTGCTTTCAGTTGGAATATTCAACTTTGGTGCTTCAAGAGATCTTAAGTTATAGGCACTGACAATATGGAATTTGAGGCACAAGTAATCAGGCCAAACATCACCACAGAGAGATTTAAGAGTGATTTTCAGTAGTGCTAGATTTTCAATGTTACAAAATATTTTAATCATAATTCCTTACTTTCGATGACTACCGTTAATCCATCACTACAGTTAGATACAGTTGGAGTTAAGAGGCAATGTCAGAAGCTGAATGATCAAGGATGAAGGTGGTCACACTTGAATCATGTAAATGAAGATGAAATTTGTATCCAGAAGGGGATTTTCAGCTCTTGGAATTGTCTGTTTTTTCAGACTTCAGAGAATGCCAGCCCCCATTCTGAAACCCACAAGTCTCTTCTCTTGCCTTCTCTTCACCCACCACTCCCCTACAATCCCCAGCAACTGGAGAGAGTTGCCCAAAAATCCTGCAGGAACCATATACGTGTAATTTAACTTGAAAATAAAATTATTTGGGAAAGTGCGGGGCTTCATGTGGCCCTTTGAAAATCTCAAAAGCCACATTCTTACCTGAGAGACTTAATTAGAGACACAAAGGGGAGAAAGAGAAATTTACCCATGGTATTGCAATTTGAACCTTCATACATGTATTTTAAATTTGCTGATACATATACTTACATGTGGGATGAGATGAAAGATTCCGCTACCACATAACACACCAACCGCAAGAGAAACCATGAACAACAGGAGAACTTTGTAAAATGATTGATTCATAAATGGAACTACAAAAGCTCCCAGTAGAGATGCACAGCTAATGATGGTCACAGACAAGAAACCAAATCCCCATGCTAAAAAAAAAAATGCCACAAATCATTACAAAAATTAAGCACACGAGTACCATGAATATGCCTTTCCGCTTGAAACAAATTAACATTAAAAACGAAAATACAAAAGACATCAGTTAGTTAATGTCAAATGAGTGTCTATATATTATATCTCACAGCATTTTTTACCAGCTGTACCGCACACAAACCTGCCTTAAAGAGAGCAGACAACATACCTATACATCCCAGCATGAGCGTCGCAGCCACACCCCTTTTAACCATTTGTACCTGTCACTTCAAAAGAAGTATGGTTTGAAGTGACAGTCATATGAAGTTTTCTGGAGCCTGTTTCTCTCAATCTTGCTCATTTGGTTATGCATATTGCCCAGGGAGGGTGGGGTGAGGGGAGGGGGGCACTCAAGGGTAGTGTAGCTAGAGGTGTGCTACTGAGCCTTTCAAAACCTGACCCTGTTTAAGATAAGAGACCTACTTTTACAACACATATGTGTTTATTGAACAAACAGAATGGAATTAGATTTTTTTGTGGAAATATATACATTGTTGGTGCCGCTCATGTAGGCCGCATGTCTCCAACCTTCACACTCATTTTTTTAAGACTTACAGTCCAAAAAGACTCCCTGTTTAAGATGCAAAATAGTGACCCTGAAAACAACACCCTGTTCAATAGCACATACCCACCTAGGCCATATGAGGGAGTGCCCCACCCCCCAGGGCTTCTTGTCCCCAGCAGACAATAGAGGGTAACAGTTATCCATAACTGTTTCAACGGCGAGTTGATGTCACACAAATAGTCCTAGGGACATTGGATCCACATGGACAGTTTAGGGTAACCTGAGATCAGGCGTTTTTTTTTTTTTGCTTCTTTGCTTCTTTGGCTCGAGAGGGAAAAAAATAACGCCTGATACATTTATTTAACAAGCAGTTAACTGCCCCCTAATTTACATAATTTAACGTCTGCTTGACCTGTCATCTTATTAGCCAATAAGCGTTTACCATACGGGAATCAAATTTTGGCGCGAATAATGTCTCTTTTGAAATCAATTTTAGGGAAAAGAAAATTATTAAATACGTCCATGTTCAATACGTCCAGGTCAAGATTCCATACATGAATTGATTATTTGAAAAGTGAACCTGTTTGTCGCTTCTGTAACTTGTAGCCGGTATCAAATTCCATTCAAATGATCAGTGAAGTTTTGACTGCAACTGTTTTAGTATACGATGAGATGGAAAATATTTCAATGGATGAAACTTCTATTTAGGCATTCTTCAAATTCAAGAAAACTGAGCTGGCAGAAATTTCATAACGAACTCGCATGTGTATTCACTGCTCATTATGCAAGCAAAATGCAGACTGAAATCAACAACAACTAACGGATGGCGGCATTTCGGCCAATCGGAACAGCGCAAATCATCCGTATTGTTTCCTATCCAATCAGAAAAAAGTCCAGATTCTGGCTTTTTTACATGTGATCCGACAAAGAAATGTATCATGCCCTCTTCCCGTGAGAGACATAAAGGGATAATAGGGAGAGGGCATGATCTCAGGCTAAGTTTAGGGAAGATTAGGAGTGAATGTTAATCAACGACAAAAGCAAATACTTACCTTGGGTTTTACTTTGAGCTACTTCCCCTTCATCTTCTTCCTCACTTTTTACTGTACATGCTTCACTTTCAATTTGTTGTACTATAGCTGGACATATCCTCTCAAATGAATCTTGGTTCAACCCACTTGAGTCAATGGAAAAGGATACAAACAGAGCTTTCGCAGAGTAACACTGCAACAAAAATGCCTCAACAAATTATATCCTTAACTAAAATGAGGCGGCTTTTTGCTGTAATTTGTAGCTCTTGATAAAACTTACTAGGTTGTTGCCAATAACGTTATTCAATGAATTTGGTTCTTTTTTGGCTACACATGGGGTTCACATCTTCCACAAGTCCTTTGACTCATTATGGCAGCAAGCCACACATGTCAAAGACTGCCCAGAGAAGTTAGAGGAACAGGCCTTAGTTTACTATATCCAATGCGAATAATGCCCTGAGGCAGTCAGATCCCTCAAACACAAATCAAAGAACTCCGATCCCCTAAAACTTCTAATCATTTCAAGCACTGCCAGGCAAGGGGTCGTAACATCAATCCACACAATGTTGAAGCTTTTACTGACAAAAATCATACCATCAAGTACCACATCATCAAGGTGGCCATTGCCAGCACTTTGTATTGGTGAAGTTCGAGAGATTCAAATAAAATATTCAATTTTGTTTCTAACTGTTTTGCTCTGAATTTCGGAATATTATTTAATGTGTTAAATTGGTTCTTTTTCCTTGTGCTACAAGATACAAGTACTTCCAAAAATACATGTAGGGGCTGAATGACTGCAGAAACAATGGAGTACCAATTATCAGGATGAACATAATTGAAAAAATTGTTCATCCTCATATTTGCATATCAACAAGGAGGAAAAATTTAGGAAAAATTCCACAGAATTATCCAAAAAGATGTTCAGCCTAAAGCAAACAACAAAAAGGGGCCATGACTGGCCAAAAACTCATTGGGAAATATGAAGTTTTGTAACAGGGTAAACTCCAAAAACAGTCCACAGCAAAGAGCAAGTCGCCAACAATAATTCCAGCAGTTTACACTAATAACAATAAGAACCAAGTAATGGGTAAATAATGAATGACATGAATAATCCTTGATCTTTAAGTCAACTATGCACTGAAACACTTAAAAATAGAGCTGTGGCTATATGGCCAGTAACCGGTCAAGGTTTTCAAAACACTAACTGACCGGCAGTCTTGTCGATTCTGTAAATTTCACAAATTGAAAAAAATAGCTAATTTAAACTATCATACGTTGATTAAGAAAAGTCAAACGATTCTGAAACGCTTTATAGGTATCAAGTTTAGCACTTGGTTTACGCTCAGGGCTCAGAAAATGAAACCATGATGTTTTCTGAAACTTAGAACTTTTGTCAGGTCAACTGCTGGTCAAGATTTTCGAAACACTAAATGGCCAGCAGTAGGAAAGAGGAAAGGGGAACAAGGAAAGAGGAAGGAGGAAGCAGGAAAGAGGAAAGAGGAAGGAGGAAGGAGGAAAGAGGAAAGAGGAAGGAGGAAGGAAGAAAGAGGAAAGAGGAAAGAGGAAGGAGGAGGGAGAAAGGAGGAAAGAGGAAAGAGAAAAGAGGAAGGAGGAAGGAGGACAGAGGAAAGAGGAAAGAAGAAAGACGAAAGAGGAAGCTGAAAAAAGTTCTACGTGTCACAGAACATGGTTTTGTTTTCTGAGCCCGGCGTGAACCAAACACTAAACTTGAGATCTATAAAGCGTTTCAGGATTGCTTGACTTTTCTTAATCGCATATGATAGTTTAGATTAGCTGGATTTTTTTCGATTTGTCAAATTTACTGAGAATATAGGACAGCCCGTCACTTAGTGTTTTTTAAAAAACCTTGAACGGCAGTCAACCTGAAAAAAGTTATGTCACAAAACATGGTTTCGTTTTTCTGAGCGTAAACCAAATGCTATTCTTGAGATCCATGATGCATTTCAGGATCGCTTGACTTTTCTTAACCGACATATGATAGTTTGGGTTGGTTAGGATTCTTAGATAAGTAAAATTTATTGAAAATACCAGACTGCCGGTTATTTAGTGTTTTGAAAACCTTGACCGGTTACCGGCCATACAGCCACAGCATATACAATAGAGGGCTTAATTCTCATGCTTCACACCTGAAGTTCTAAAACTACTCTGAGAGCGGTTTTTTCAATGACTGCTTTTTGTTACTCTTTGTAGCACTTGGTGTGCGTGCTTTTAATATCATTTGACACTCGTCATAGCTAAGTATATCAAGTAGGTACTTGCATGATATAAAAATAAACTGAACGTTATTTAAATCGCACATTCTCTTTCTAGCATACTTAGTATACATTATACAAAATATATGTAAATCTTATCGAAATTCATTATTTCAAATGGAGGAATGTAAACCTAGTAATTTAATTACAGTTTGTGTCGTAATAAACAATGCTGTTAAGAAAGAAAAAAGTGCCACGTCCTACATGGAAACAAAAGTATATAAACCACTTTAACTAATGTTGCTTAAAGTCACGCCATGTACTTGGGACTCGTAAAGATATTTAATTTGACAAGGCTGTGCACGAAGGAATCTGTCCAGAATACCTATCGTTCAAAATAATCATTTTATACTGAGAGGAAGTTTTACAAGATGATATTGTAGAATCTGTTAGCATCAAGATTAAAATTAATAATTATTCGATCCAAGTGGTATATTGCCACGTGTGATCGACTCAGTTCAGTGACACAAAGAATAATGGAGTCGAACAGAAAATTCGCAAGACTCGGCTCGTTCGTAACTCAAGAAAGTGAAAAACATGTGATTCAAGCTACATGATCAAGTCTTAACACAATCTACACCGCATCGCCGGCGTGGTTTTCCGCCGGCGTGATTACACTTCGATCATTTTTAATGTCATCGAGGTTACTGCCTGCAAATTAAGGAGATTTCACAGTGAAAAGCAAAATAAAGAGGACTTCTTGGCCAGACCGCCAAAACGAATCTCTTATCAGAAATCTATAAGCTTAATAATGGTTTCTTGGTTTGTTTTGGTGCTATGTACTAAACTCATTAAAGACTTCGACAAAAAGAATGCTACCTAAAATTTATTGTTACCCATGTGGTCTTACCTTATCAGCGCCATTAGTCGCTACATTTCCCTTAGCTGTTTCACTACTGCTTTTCTGTCCTGTAGTATACATGGAACCAACTTTAAGTTCTTTCAGCAAGGCACTAAACTGCTTTAGGTTCATTGATTTGTTTGCGCCATATTCTTCGAACAATCTATCAACAAAAGATTGCGCTACTGGTCCATTTAAGCTCCGTGCGTCGTCATGCGAGAAAACATGAGAATCTGTCGTCCTGATGAGGGCAAAAGAGCATAGAAGAAGCAAAACCGTCCAAGAATTCGCTGAATCCATTGATGAGTTGTACAAGAAGGCCCCCCTCTGCAGCACCACGCTATCGTTGTATGCAGGTAAGCACGTGAAGTTTTGTTGAGTTCTGATCTCAAATCGAGACTTTAGTCACGACCTCACGGCCTCAAGTGGGCTGTGTAACCGGGCCTTCCTGGAGTGCTGAACATCGCCTGTTCCAGGCTCCCAAATCACACGCGTCCTCCGCGCGTCCTATTTTCCCGCGACCAAAGGAGGCCATCCTGTGTGTGGCTCATGCTCAGCACAGCTTGTTTATCTTCAGATAGATACCTGTTTACTATAGCTGTTTTTATGAGGGATATCTTTACAGCAAAAAAAAAAGGCTCTAAGGGAAACCAAAATGTGCAATTTCGACCCCTTAAGCAAGACGAGGAGTATCCCCCACTTTCACGCCATTTTAATGAAGAAGAAGCCCTGGGGACGAGGTTGGAACATCCCCTCACTTTCAAATGGGAACCCCCGCCCCTCCCCTCCCAAGAGCGAGGAAATTAGAACACATGTAGAGTACTGACTCAAGTGTGAGTAATGGATAGTCATCAGTAACCCACGCGGTTTCGCGCAGGCTGTAACGTGAATAAGCACAAAGGATACAAGCTTCACAATACTCTAATCGCAAAAAAATTGTCTTGTTGAAAAATTGTTATGGCATCTCTGAAAGTCCCCTCAACTGAGTAGATATGTTTAAATTCATAAGTGTAGCGGTCATTAAGTACCTAGAAATCAGCGATGACTATCGTACTGGCCCAAAACGCTTTTGATATTCAGTATTCAGATCATTATTATATCACACAAACTAAAACCTTTTTCACATACAAAATCAAAAGATGAGATTACGGGACTCAAAATCCTTGAAAATCGCTCAATACTTCTGAGGCAAAGGGCACCAATTCACCACGGGTAAGGAAATAAAGCATTTATTTAGCGTTGATCCACATGTACATATTTAGAGGATATATCGCTACAGATCGAGCAAACAGTAAATTCAATACGTTTACTGTATAAAGGTTTATACACATAGTAGATTGTGTGGATACCCTTGTTGTTCCTTTCATCAAGGTAGCCAACACAGTATAACATATTATGATATAATGCCTTATCAATGTTCGAGTGAAGTAATCTTTAAATAAAAAGTAGAGTTTGGCCCTACAAGACCTATAACGTTTTCCTAAATAAAATGATAAAATATATGTGAGCTAAATACAAAAAGATATATTTTTATAAAAAAAAAATAGAACTCTTCTAAACCATCCAAGATATATACAAAATCATTAACAATTCTGGATAACTGAAAGTGTATAATCCGAGTTCCGTTATGGACTCCTTGTCCTGACTAACAATAGTGGAGCGCAACTAATAATGTTTGGGAAAAGGAGACCAGCCGTTTTTCAACACATGTGGTCTAATTTGGCCTCGTATCTATTTTAATTTTCAATGTTCTTCGTGATGGAAGAAAGAACTTATGTATTCATCACCCTGCCTTTTACACCTGCGTTTTTCATATATTTGAGTGTTACTTTCGTCTATTGTAGTTTCTACATTAGGGTCTGGATGGCAGTATTGAACTCTTACCTTAGCTTTCTTCTAAATTCTCGGTCATTTTTCAGCCCGTTAATAAGTTAATTTTGATAAATCTTAGTGCTTTTCACTTCTTAATGCCAGATTTTACATTCTTGTAATTTTTAATGTAATCTCAGCATTAACCTTTGTATCATAGACTTCCCGAAGTTTTTTGAACAACCTCTGATTGTTTTCATTGTCAAGGTTAAAGTGCTACAAAAACGTTTTCATAATAGACCAAAGCATGCAACTTCCATGCCCTCGTGTCACAGCGTTTTCACGGACCAGTTTATTTTTAGAACGGTTTTAGCGCGAATTTTAAATATATTCTAAATTCCACAAACCAGTCAGCAAAACCTACAGACCTAAAAATGATACTTTTTTTTGCGTTTTAATAACGTTTAATTTTCCTTTTTGATCCCTTATACTTCGAATGCGCTTGGTGGAGATTCTATTTTCGCGGGAAAAGGCGCCCTAAAATGTTTCTAAAAATAAACTGGTCCGTAAAAACGCCGTGACATAGGCCTAGTATGGGAGTTGCTTTCTCCGTATTATGGACTCCTTACCAAAGACATGAAACCCGGCGCTTTATTTTCTAGACTATGCGCTGACTGTTGAAAAATCTAGTGAGATATACCTTCATTTCTGTTTAAATCTATGTGTTTTTGGCAGCTCTCTGAGTTCCGACCAAGATTTCCTCGATGGTCCTAAGCAAAATGGAATGCATTTTATTAATTCAACTAAAATTGCAGATCCAAGATAGCGAATTGCTCCAGCTTTAATAACAAATGACGTCATCGTCACTTCACCGCTATCGTTTAAAATTGTGGCCAACTTCATGATTTTATCATTGCCCTTAATATTTCAATATTCTTCGGTTTATGGCTACTTTTACGAGAAAATTAATTAAATTTGGTCTCTGTCAATTAGGCTTGTCCCGATTGTGCTCGTGAAAAGCTGAAAAGTTGCTCACTGGAATGCCAAAAAGTTGCAAAGAAAATGGAAAAAATACTGTAAAAAATGCCACCTAATTTTCAAACGTTGCCACCCAAATTTCAATTAAAAGCTAATTATTTTTCATTCTTCCCAATAAATTTTAACATCGGTCAGGAAAAATAGCTTGAAAACACAGCTTTAAAGAGATGCTCGCAAATAATTCTCTGAACTGTAACTAGGACTTTCCACAAGTTGCACGCGATTTTCCAAACCGTTTCATGTAATTTCTCAAAAAGTCGCTCAAAAGTTGCTTTTTGTCACCAAAGTTGCTCAAAATTGCTCGAAAAAACAAAAACTTTTTGGGGTCTGATGCTAAAATATGCAAATTGTACAATAAAAGTAAGATTTCTAAACATTTTTGACCAAAAAACGTAATGAGCCAATAAAATTGTGGAATAACCTTCTTCACCCGCGACGCTCAAGTCAGTCGAGTGTGAATCTTCGTCCACAATTTTGGATTTTCTCTCTAAAAACCTCTGACCTAGCAGCTCGGCTACTTTTATCTTACGCCCATGATCTTCCACAGGGGGAGGATTTGGCTCTTTTTTTTTAAAGATAATTCATAAATTCTCTACTGAAATATGGAAGAAAGGCAAATTTACGCACTAAAAGCTGCTCCGATATCTCAGCGTTTTAAGCACGTTTAATGCCTTTTTGGCCTGCGAAACGTCAAGTTAAAGGTTATATATGCGTTCAACAGGTTGATAACCATTCAAGAAATTCGCATAAATTAAACTTTTCTATGAGATCGTTAACTTTTTCGTATTTCATATCGATATGTTCTCTAAACCAATATTTTGCTCAAAAACTCCTTAGAAAGGTAAAAATTGCTCAAGGTGGCTAGAACCACAAAAAGTTGCTCAAAAGTTACCGAGCACAATCGGGACAGAACTACTGTCAATCAATTTAACAACATGACATCATGATGACATCACACACGTCACTGTATCAATCAAACTATACCTAGATGTTGGAAATGCTGAGCATATTATACTGTGTAATTTTGGTGGCCGTGTGCATGGGCAGTTTTTAAAGGCACTGAGAGGGACCTCTGAAGATCCCCCGCCCCGGTCCTACGGAGACAAGAAAGCCCGGTCTGAATAAAGTTAGTGTGTTTGATCAACAAAACCATGCCCCAACAGGACTGCCCCTTACTCTCCTTTCTAGCTGCTGTTGACGCTTTAAAACAGGGTGTTGATCCAAACTGTAATTGGTAAGAAAATCAAAACTACTACTTTGTAATTGCAATCGTAAGTTACTTTTAAGAATTTCACAGATTTTTGCGCTTGCTTCCAGATATTCTTCTGCCAGAGTAAGATTTTTCTGATCAATATTTTTCTGACATCGTTTTTGTAGTGTGGTGGCAACCAGTGGATGATCATCACCCAAAGTATTGCGATGCAATTGGTCTGCTGTTGCCAAGGATTCCTTTCTTCCACTGGACAGCTGAAGCTTCCCCTCAGCATCTGCTCGAATAAGTAAAAAAACAGCCTCTAAGTCACGCCTTTGGTAGGTCGTAGCAATAGCAAGAGCATAGTCAATCTCTTTCCAGGCTTTCTCGTAATGGCCCGTAAGAACGTATAGACGAGCTTTTTCTCGCTTCAAGAATGCATACTGTTGGTGATCGCTACCAAGAGACTGTTGAATTATTTCATCTGCTTTACTGAGATCTCTTCCTGCCTCTGTGAAGATTTCTTGAATGCCTTCTTCATCCTTGGGCCAGCTGAATTCAAGATTGTCCAACGCCATTTCAGTTTTTGTTCGAAGAAATACAGCGTACTCTGGATGGGCCCTATTCTCCTCAGAAAAACCAAGCTCAACCCCTTTAAGATATTCCTTGGCCTTGCTGAAAAGTCCAAGCTTTGAGCATGCGTATGCAACTCTCAGCGTACATTTCCTCACCTGTAAAACAGTGTCGTACAATAAAATGTCTACAATGAGTTTTTCGGGATCGGCATTGATATGTAAAAATTTGAAGGCTGAGATTCGGGATTTGAGAGGGAAAAGGTAATGGAATTAGGATTGGAACTATGAACGGGACAAGGGATTTGGTGATGTTATGATGAGAAGAGCCTTCGAGAAATGTTCTCTTAGTAACGAAAAGAGATCCAGTTGAAAAGGTGAGCTGCATTTTCTTAGGTAACGATAAAAGACCTTTATTTTATTTCAACCGAACACATGCTATTTGAGGCATTTTCCCTCTTGTACCGCGGCTATTCAATTATCTGGAGTGCCAGTGTCCCTTCTCAATGTCTTTTAAGGGTGTCTTAAACGATGCGTGTTTCCATGTTTCCATGCGTGAACGAAATCAACGTTAGCACTACTATAACACGCCCTCATTTTTCTTAGAGACACATGAGGTATAAAGTTAATCACATACTTCTCTGTGTTGCATCATGTTTCCATGCGTTTCCTTGTAGATCTTTAGAGCACGGTTTGCTAAATCAGCACTTTTTACGGTGTCGCCAAGGATGAAGCAAGCTTTACTGAGCCTTTTCAGTGAGTTTGCCTTTTCTGCCAATAAAATTAAAATATTGTGAACTCTTTCTCTCTATCTCTCTAACATGACTCCAAAAACTAAGATAGTACGCGCCCTCTGATTGGCCGAGAGGAGTGTTTGCATGAGAGTATGTAAACATGGTTGTGACGTCAAGATGTTTTGCTTTTCGCGCGCTAATCAGGCAAGCACAAATTTGAAAAAGTTTTTGAGTTCAAAACTCGACAAGTTTACTTCATTTACCCATTCCTTCGTCGGCTGAAACTTGGAACATCTCTACAAACAAGCTGTGTCAATTTTGTTTTCGCTTAAGCTGACATTTTAAGCGAGAAAAATCTGTATTTTGGAGAGCATCTTTTTGCAAATGAAGAACTGATTACGCGTGCAAGCCTTCGTGTTCACGACTTTGCGACTGGTAAGAATTTCTCTTTTAATCAATGCCATAACAAAGAGTTTTGCGTTTTTCTCGGGAAAGTAATTTTATAAAAGCAATATAAAACTTTTTTCCTGTGTTTGCATAGCCTGATATAAACACTCGAGGGGTTGGGAGAATTCGAGACAGTCATGCAAACCCTCGACTTCGTCTCGGGGTTGCATAACTGTCTCGAATTCTCCCAACCCCTCTCGTGTTTATATCAGGCTATGCAAACACGGAAAACGTTTTCTATTGCTTATTAAAATAGAGTTGGCCCTGCCATTTTTCAGTCATTTTGCACACTCTTGTAAAAGCGTTCACCTCTCCACAAAGACGGATACTTACTGCTATTCAAAACAAAGGCTATGTTAGAGCTAGTTGACTGTAAAACATGTTCATGAAGATATAAAAACCTCTATGAACTGCATGATCTTTTCAGTTCCTTAATAACCTTTTAGAAAGTTCCAAAGAGTTTCTTGCAAATTTCCAGTGTTCAATGAAATATTCTGAAGAACGGATCTGAACGGTGGCAGTACTAGAGAACATCCAACAATACATTACCCCTGAAATTCGGCTCAAGAAACAAATTACCTGGATGCGGAGGAGAAAGGTTGTCCATGATTTCTACTGCCCTTTCCAGCGTTTCTTTTGCTTTCTGCACTTTTCCCATTTGCAGGTAGGCATATCCTAGGTAGTTTAGGTTGGCGGCAATAATTCGATGATTTTCCCCATGAAGTTCTTTGTAAATTTGCAGTGCCTTGTTTAGATTTCTTTCTGCATCTTCCACTCTCCCCGTATCACTTTGTGCATGGCCAAGGTTTAGCAGTGCGGTGGCTATAACTTTTCACAAGAGAAAAAAGAAAGAGATAAAGAAGTCTATCCGCCTTGTGTATCTTATTTGCCATCAAACAAGCTCATAGTCTCATTCGGAAAGGAGAGATTCAGGAAAGATTCCAGAATGGCCGTGAGCTTGCCCCTGGCGTTATGTCCTATAAAGGAAATTGAGATTAAAAAAAGGACTGTTTAAAAAAAAATGAGTATTATAAAAAGCGGAAACAAGTTCCAAATGCGGTCCCAAACGAACTGAGCAGATTAACCAACCTCTTACGTTAGTTAATTAGTTAATTATTTTCTAAAGTTAGTTGAGGTTTTGTTGACCCAACACTGACAATGGCTAATTTATACGCTATGACTAAGGTGGATTTCCACTGTCGCGTAATTATTCCATGCGTCCGCACGTAAATTTTACGTGCATAAATAAAGAATGAATGAAGAGACGTTGAATGGAAGGTCATGCTCAAATTTTACCTTTACGCGTGGCCTTTCATACATTGCCTCTATTTCATTTACACACGCAGATTTTAAGTGCGTTTGCACGGAAAAATAACGCGACAGTGGAAATCAACCCTTACCGGGTCGATTTTCGTGTTCACTGCAGCTTGTTTTCTTCACCAATCGTTCCAGATTGGCTGGACAAATCCTAACGTGTGAATCGCTTAGCCTTAGCTTCCAATCTTTTCTAGTTGAACGTCTTAAGCTATACAGTGACCTGAAAATATGGGTCTAGGTCAAGTACCAGTAAAGGATATGAGCACTTACCAGGGTGATCTTTCCTGCCATGGTGCTTATCAGTGATCTCTGCAGCCTCCTCTGCAAAAAGCAAACTGTTTTTTGAATCTCCCTTGTGGCGATAAACGACGCTCAGCTTTGATAGTATGATAGCGATGTAAATATTATTGTTGCCAAGCATTTCTCTGGCTTCCATCAACGACTTGATGATCTCGTCCAGTTTCTCCAAACATCTCTGAACTGAAGCCAGTCTGCTTAGGGTGACACCCATCTGTAAAAGACATCTTCTGGGTTACCATATATAGTAAAGCAACTATGTTTTTGTAACTTGTAACATTGTAAGGAAAATATGCACGAAAAAATGCAGCTTCGGATACATCAACCTTTATTGTAAAAGAAGTAGGCATGCTTGCCTGGATGCTTGCACTATGTAAATTATGCGATCATGGATAAAGTATCACCGTAATTGCCTCAAGCTAAAGAGCCCACGCATCGTTCTGGAGGTACCATTTCTCTAAGGTCTCGGTCACTCATGGTCACTGCATGTTACTGAAGATTCTTACGGCTATTAATAGATTAACCCGTCATCGGGAAAAGCTGTCAGTCACTCAAAGTAGTAGCTGGTGGCGTGTAAGGCTTTTTTGGTTTAACCCATTTATTAGATAGTCTTTCAACTCCATCTTGAGTTTAGTGTCATCGGTAGCAGTTAGAGGCTCCCTGGCTTAACTACGTCTGCCGTAAGTGAGTCCTGGTTTAACTGTCATTTAAGTGGTCTAATTGTTCATTCAAAATATTTCCCCGATTCTGATTGGCTAAAAGCACACGCATAATGTACCCTCCTCGATCTCCATAATTCTTCGAAAGCCGAATTCATTAATTGTTAATGATAAAGAACTGAATCAGGTGTCCTTGCGTGCTTCAACAATCTTAAATAGTTACCCGTAGTTTGCTTGGTGCATCGACTGATCTGAAGATCTTTAGAGCTTCTTTCAGGCATTTTTCCGCCTGAACATATTGACCCAAGTAACGATACGACGAACCAAGTGTGCTCAGGCTGTAGCCATATTCTTGCTTGAAATGGTGCCCATTCTCATGATATATATCAACAGCTCTCTTTGCATATTCACTGCAGAAGATACAGGAAATACGATTTTTCTTGTTGTGTTGTTTATTTTCCTTAATTTGAGCTATAACTAAATTAACTACAACAAGAACGCTCTTAAAAGAGCGTTCAGTCTCGCTTGATTGGAGATCAGATAAGAAATGAGGAGGCGATTAATTCTACACGAAACAGGATTTCCTCGCTAAAAGGTTTTCACTTCCTTCTTTATCGACGGTCGAGTATTCTTCAGGGCATCTACTTTTTATATCGTCTTGGGCGATGATTGAGTACGAGTGTATAAATACACGAAAATCAATTCGAGAGAAATATATCATTGCCAGAGACCAAAAACGTGACGAACATGGCGCGTTTTTCAATCATCGCCGAAAATAAACCGCATGCTTTTCACAAGACTCATTTGCATGCAATGAACGTTTACAACACCCGACCCGTTTATAGCCTTACCATCGAAGTTTTTACTGAAATATTCACTTGCTCCTGAAGGAAATCAACGCTTTCAAGCGATAGAATTCGCGGACCGACCCTTTCCGGAAAAGCTCGACATCTTTAGCGTCAATCTTTCTTAAGCTCTCTGCACCAAATAAAGCATGGCGCTGCGTCAGGAACACCTGGACCATGATTCCAATTTTGGCGCGCATCACGAAAAAAAAAAAGAAAAGAAAACGAAACGCTAGAACGGGAGACTTACAAGTTTCATCGGTAAAGAGCAACCTTAATTCATACTGATTAAAGCTTATTACACAGAAAGCAAAATAGTAATAGTAATTCAGAGCATACAGTTATAACACTCACATAGCCTCGCTGTGCTTCCCCAGTTCGTTCAAGACATTTGCTAGACTTCTTAAAGTAAAAGCAACTTGTGGATCGGCTTTTCCCTTGTAATGACGTTCTTTTTCTTTGAGGGCTTGTTTAAGATACTCCTCACCTTTCGAAGGGTCACCAAGATAGCTATAAAAAGCAATAACTATTTGAAAATTTGAATAAGGGCTCAGTACAGTCAACCAGGGGCGTAGCCAGCCCATAGACCTGTAGGCCCGGGCCGACAAATTTTTGGTTTGATCACTCTACCGCTTCTAACAAATTATGCGTTGTTGGGGTGAGCTAAAAAGCTTAAGAGCTCAAATTATTGGTGAGGTCAGTGCGTACTAGTCATGCGTGCAATATTCAGGATGTGTGGAAATGAAAGTCAGCCAGGCATATACTGCGCCCATGTCAACTAAAGGCCCATTGAAAAACACTATTTGAACGCTATCACCTCTTGTCAGGCTATTCACCAAAAGATTTAATGTCATTCATGGAAGGCCAAAACACATCAAAAACGGATGTTTGGTAGCCATCAATTCGTGGTAAACACTAACCTCCCACGCAGACGTTCTTACGGGTTCGTCACGCAATCTTTCCTCCCCCACGAACGTGGGGTAGGAACGCGTGACGAGGCTAGGTAAACCCTTGCCGGTCCTCAGTGATATCTCTGTCTGAGTCAACGTAGCGACTCAGGGATTCATTGAGACACCTCACTACCAAAGTTTCCGATCCACAGACTGTAAAATGTAGTTTGCCGTTTGCAGTTCACGTAACGTACGGCAACGTGGAAAATCAAGCAGACATGACTCGCGGTTGAATGGAGGTAAAAGCTCTTGTATAAGAGGGGTAAATGACGGGAAGAAGAAATAATGGCAAAATGGGTCCCTTAGAAAGCAGGAATTTTGACGAAAATGGCGATTTTGGCTAATTTGGCTTTGCAAAGTTTTGGTCATGCAAAATTTAAATGAGATGAAAAAAAAGCCCGCTTCTTAGAAAGTTTCGATTGTGACGGACCGGAGAATGACGATTTTGGCTAAAATGGATAATCTGGCCGAAATTTAGCAACGTCCTGGCAAAAATTCAATTGACATGGCCCTTGAACCCCTTAGAAAGTGGTCATTTGGGCGAACTTTCACCTCTGTAAGGGGGATCCTTCTCCGTTTTGGTCAAAATCGCCACTCTTCAACGGCCTCCTTTTGTTACCTATATAAATTTCAAATATTAGCCAATCCCATGGCAATTTTCGCCAGATTTTTTATTTTTTCCAGATCCGTCATTTTCGTCAACTTGTCTACTTTACCAAGGAGCACCTCCGACGACGTTTTGCCAGGGTCGCCATTTTCGCCATTGCGTACATTTCTGGACTTAACTGGAAAAATTGTCCGCTTAAGAGAGGTGACCTGTGTTTGTATCTCTCCGGGACGATGATTAAGTGTTTGCTTATGATAGGTTTTCAGTGTTAGTGAGTCGCTGGGGCCATTACGTAAGTATCCGCTTAAGAGAGGTGCCTGTTATAGTGTGATTGTTTGTATGTAGCAGGTACCTTAAATGAGTACCCGCTTGTAACGGATGATGTATGGGGATCGACTGGACTGATCATACCTGTTACAGTACGCCTCTCCGAGGAAATGAAGCACGTTGGCTTTGTCAAGTAGCACATTCTCCGGGCCGCTATAATCTTTGAAACCACGTAAGGCAATCTCCAGATTTTTTCTCGCTTCCTCGGACTCACCAACAAAGAGCAACAATTCTCCCAGACATGCGTGTCCATCAGCCACGATGAGTGGATTTTCCTCGCCATCACTTTGTGGTATCAGATACTTGCCCAGCTGTTAAATTGAGTGAAGTTAAAATAAGTTAAGCAAGGCGTGCAAAGATTTTGAACAGAATAGTACTGTCAAAAACCTTTGAAAGATGAACGATGAGAGGGTTAATTACCTCCATTGCCGTTTTCAAATGTGGCAATATTTTGTGCAGCATAATGAAGTCCTGATCTCTTCTCTGTTGCAAGGGTTCTTTGCAATTGTTGCTTAGACATTTAATGGCCTGAAGTACATCAGAAGCTGATAATTTTGGCGAGCTAATCTTGTTTGTCTCGTCTCTAATTAGACCGGTTCCCTGTTTCACAAGCTGCCAAAAGAAGCCAGGCCATGTTTCCTCTGAAAATTTAAAGCAAAACATGGCTCAGGGAAAGCCACTTGTTTATCTAAGCGGTATATGAGTTCAGAAACTGAAAGCATGAACCACAGCCACTGTCAATAATTTTACAGGGAGAATTTCAACAGAACTAACGTCAGTGGCTCACGGTATTCTAGAAAAATCCTTGAGGTTGCTCGTGAAAGCTGGATGGCAAACCAAAAAAACCATTAACTCATAACCCAGCTGTTGGAGAAGAGCAGGAAGGAAATTAAAAACCTTGTGACAGATCCAGAGGTCAACAGTTTAAATCTACAAACACATCTACCCACCTTCACAGCATCGGAAAGTACTTTGAAAAGAAGAAAACTTAACAGTGATGGTAAAGAAGAGAGTCTTGTATTGTGGTAGACTTTGTTGGTGCTCCTTTTGCATGGGCTACTAAAAGAGTGCTAAATGCTAAATATGAGGGGACTATGGTTGAAATACAATAATATTTCTATATACATTAAAATTGGAAAGGACCTTAAATGAATTTATTTTCAAATTTGCTACAATAACTTAACAAACTTCTCCCAATATAGTACCCCTTTTTCCTTTCTTACCGCATGTTGATAGTTTTCGACCGGTCAGTAAGTCTCTCAGTGTCTTATGATCCCTCTCATGCATTGTGACTACTTTTACTCCGTCTCGTTCAAGAACATCCACAAAGTTGCTTTGTTTTACAGTCTCTCTGGCCTCTTTAAAACAACTCTCTAGACAGTGTAAAGGCAAATAGTCGGATTCAACTGAACAGCACGCCAAGAATTTCAAAATCTGTCAAGAAAGAGAAAACAAGTTTCGTTCTTGTAAATGTCATTAAATACAAGTATATTGAGTTAGTCGCTTCTATACTCTTGTTTCGTTTGTTTGTCCAAACCGAAATGTGAGATTTACTACTCCAAATTTTCGCCACACTTCAAATGACTTTTCGGGCTACTCTGGAGAAAGTTTGGAAACGCTGACCCCAAAATAGATTCTAAAACTCGTCTTGAACAAAATCAAGCTCATAAAAATCTTTGTTTTATTTGTGGGGATGAAAAAGTGGATCTTATTTTGGCACCTGTAAAGGTTCAGTCAAAGGATCTGAATGTTATGTTAGTTTTTCAACTTTTGTTGAGAGCCGAGGAAGAAACCATCTGACACCCCTATCAACAGCCCTATCAATACCGGGCTCCAGGTCAAATGTTGTGACATCCTCAAAGACCCAGCATTTTGTTTTGCTACGTTTTAACTTCGTTGCCAGCTTTAATTTTCTGAGCTCAGCCCAACCCAGAGGGGAGGAAATGAACAGGACTCAAAAGTCCTATGCAAGGTGCCTTTCCTATCCAATCCAACATGCCTAGTGGTTCTTTAACCGCGAGGAAACGCGCGATGGAGGTTCCGTCGCCAATATTTTCACCGAATTCGCACAAGTGGGCCTGCTTGTAGGCTTCAACATTCATTTTTTTTCTTCTTCTACCCGAAAGAAAGGATTTAAAATGGACTTAAATAATTACGAACGAGATCTGGTTTATCGACCGTTTTCGACTTCATCACGTTCATCGGTCCAAATGTTTGAGGGAATTAGTTATGGGGACCGTTGAACATCACCACTTAGCAGAAACTCACAGGGTTATTTTAAACCGTTTGATTTTTTGCTCCTATGCTTGATAACATGATGCTGAGACCGTTTATCAGGAAATTTCAAGTCACAAAACTCAGAGGGTCCCCAAAAGGGTTTTTCAATCCCGTAATCCGGACCCAAAATTTCGTGCAATCCCATAATCCCGAGGGTTATTTTGGGCATTCTAACTCGCGTGCACACTTTCAATCCCGAGTCTCGCCCAATTTTGCTTTAAAAACCCGAATCCCGAGCTTCAAATAACAAGGGAAATCCCGGATCCCAAAAAACCTATTGGGGACTGTCAACTCAATCAAAGCCATATTTTCATACACAGCCGACAGTCGACAGTATCCGCTATATAGCCTGCGAATCTGTTCTGCTACGTGGAGGATTGAACGACGGCAACGGAGCCCCGTTGCAGGATTTTTACTGTCACCATGCATTCCGGCGGTGAAAATTGGAAAATTAAGATCTAGATAGTCTCTGTTGCCGGTGAATGCTGTTCGGATTGTTATAACGGTGAACAATTCTTGCCAGGACCACTAACACACGGACAAGTGGGAAAGCCGGATCTTTGTGTAGATCAGGATCTGCAATAGAGAACTGATGAGACCTAAAATTGAAGGCAAGGCGGATCGGTAATTATTATATCGTGTCAGTCTTTCAGGCGGTACCGGCGGTTATGTCGCAGGTACTAGAGAACACTGCAGGTAGAACTATTATCATTCATTCAAAATATTTCCCCGATTCTAAATGGCTAAAAGCACACGCATAATTCACCATAACCAGCTACTGATGACCAAATTTGGAAGAATTTTGCGATTAGTCAACCGATGACGTCAAAAGTGCAGCTTCCTTGCAGGTTAATGCACCGTTAACCGAGAAGACCTGGGGACGAGGTTGAGTTGTTTTGGTTGTGAAACCAAAAAATGGCGGACATTTCACTCGTTTCGAGAGTAAGAACTCGGCGAAATAATAGCTGAAAACATGGCAAGAACAGAGAATTAATGAATGAGGCTGAGTATCTTAGAAAGAATTATGGAGATCTCGGAGGGTGTTATACGCCTTGGCCTACGGCCTCGACGGATAACACCCTCCTCGATCTCCATGATTCTTTAAAAGTCACTAACTGTTAATTTAATTGACACTACTCTCTTCTCTTCAATTCTTGGCAAGTACCTTTTCTTGATTTTTACGAGTCATTTCGAGGAGCAACATGCACTCATTAGGAGTTTCTGTTTCCGTCCCAGCTAAATCTTTGTAAGTAAAGTTCCTTTCGGTCTCTTCCTTGTAGTTTTTCACAAATTTTCCAAACCTAAAGTCAAGAAAAACAAAACAGTAAGATAAATTTAGAGAACCTATCCTTGCCCTATACAGCCTCTGGAAATTGAATGGATGCGAAAAACTTTGGAGTGAGGGAAAAAATAATGTATACTATCATATCTTTGTACAGAGGAATCAAAGATAAAACATCTAAACTCGGTCATCCACCAACACTCCTTCTATCTTCCTACACCAGCTGTCAGAAGATAACACCTGTAAATTTATCAGTTTTTTTTCTTCTGGAGTAGCTATTACTTGGCAGACTCTTCAAGGGTGGATACAATGTATATGACGTTCTCTACTTAAGGTGCTAGTGTTGTTTAAAACTTCATTAATTTTTATTTGATCATCCTTTACAGACTCACTTTGCTATATCTTGGGGATTGCACTTTAGCATGTCGACAGCTATGTCTTTAGCATACTTTGTGTCACTTCCAGTTGCTTTCATGTCCGTTTTGCTTTGAAGAAACTGAACTGCATCTTGGTTTGTCATTTTTCCAATGTACACTTTCTGCAGTACAGAGTCATCTTCATCTCCAAACAGAAGTTTTGAGTTGTTATTGTCACCAGTTGTCATTATGACTAGACCATTTCCGAACCCGTTATCACCAGGTTGAGGCCAAAATCTTCTAAGAGAAGCCACCTTTTCAGAGGATCCTTCGATCAAAATCACCCACGAATCGTTTTGTCCCAGTGCCCTCATAACTCCTTCGTAAATTTGTTCCAAAGCTTCGTCATAAGCGTCTTTTTCACAACGATCGTGTAGGTACATTTGATATTGCCTTCCCTCAGATGTCCTGCTGTGAAGTGGGAGCTCCCAATAGGCAGCTTTGGCTTCGTCGATCAAGCCAATTTCTTTCGCCAGACTGGAGTAACTCTCAAATAGGGTTCTTGTGTTTGTCGCATTTAAAGTCCACCGTATCGCCGGTTTTTGTAGGAAAAATTTTGTTTTAGCTTGGTCAGTGCGTGACACGAAGGAATTTGTTATTCGCGATGTGTAAATTGTGTCCATTACTTTTGCAGCTGAATAATGTTTTCCGTATCCGGATGGTCCATGTAGTAAGAGAGTCTTTACGACGTTGTTGGAATTTCTTCCTTTGCAAAGAATCTTCAGCTTCCCCCTTATTTCTGCTTCTTCCTTTCGGGCAAAATATGCAACACGCGTTGGGATCCTTGAGGCATGATTCTTCCTCGAAGAGGCTGTGCGAACGATCTCCTGACCAAACTTCCAAATTTCCTGAAATGTCGTCACCCATTCTTTGACGTCTGAAATACTTGGGCGCATGTTTCACCACAGCACTGGAATTGAAAGTTGAAATTTAAGTACAGATAATTTGCCTTAATGTATAGAGTAAATATGAGTATTTATGATTAGAGTATATATGTTGAATACGAATTAAAATATTCATGTAAACGTTTCATAATTGCCTCTGAAGATGGCTAAAATAATTTCCAACCGTAAACGTTTCTTCAGTGAAGTTTATCAACACACTTATTAATTTTCTTCCTCTAAAATTTTAAAAACTAACATAAAACGGTGTAAATTTTCGCTCCAGTCTAAACACATGCCAACGTAAACCAATTAACCAATGACCATCCGTATCCGCATTCATAGTCATCATCATCATCCTCACCGCCATTCTTATCCTCGTCATCATCATCATCATCATCATTAGGCTGCCTAGAGCAGCCAACACAAAAGTTTGAGCGATCTTAAAAGAACTATTAAAAAGAACAGTACATTTTATTTCTTCATAATAGAGCCGAGGGAGTAACTGCAAAATAGAAATCAAAGGGTGCCTATGGCTAACTTGTGGATTAATTATTTTAGAAATGAAAAGCTGATAATGAACCTGCAATTAGTCTACCGGTATACTTTAAGTCTGTGAAAAAATGAAAATATGTTTAAAGAAAAAACAAAACAAAACGATAAAAAAAAAGGAAAAAAGAAAGTCTCCTCCGGGAAAGCAGAACAATCGTGCGTTACCTAGGCGGAATTTGGAGCCGATTGGAGCCGATGGAGGGAATTTATGGCCGTTTTCCTTCGGTGGATCCGTCGGGCCGCTTCGCTTGGGTGCCAGACCTTGGTAAACCTTATAGAGAGAGAGAAAACCGTTACATACATGCATACATACATACATTTTTTTATTGAAATCCTTTCATTTTCGTAGGTTACAGAAACGATAGGTTTTCTTCCCATACAAATCCTTATACTTCGAATGTTACACAACCCCCTGATGCCGATGCTCGCCGATGCTCATAATTCGAGCTTGGGCTACCTGTGGGGAAATTGATTAGATATGTGTAGAATTAGGAATATCCTGACTACACTTTCAATGATCAATGCCTTTGTTTGCATCCGCCTTATAAAAAGCTGTGTTAAATACGATTTCAGGAACTGGACACCGAATACAACCGAATACAACCCTTGAGACAGTGAAGGAATAAAATGAAACTGCCCACACTTTAACCGATCTTTGCTCTGTGTAATTTGTTTTAGAAAATAACGCTTGCGAGAGCATCCGGTTTTTTGGCTCTAGTTTCACCCTCCGAGAGGGAAGGGAGAGAAGCGACGGCCGGAACTACGTCTGTGGTTCGCAGGCGTAGATAATGAGCTGTCGTGATGCTATTATGTTTTTCTAAAAATATCTAGAAACTATTATTGGAAAAACTGAATATAATGCAGGTGTACGGTCTCCATGGTTATGCTATAAATATTTTGAAATTCAATTTAAGTTCCGGGACCGGCTAATTTTACTTTCAGATTTTATATTGTTTGTTTTACTTTCGATATTTGCAAAACGCCCAGCTTTGCTTTGAAATGATGTCATTTTTTATTAATCTAGCTCTTGATCAGTTCAAGAAGTACAGAATACCCTACTAAGTGGAGTATATTTAATTAGTGTGCCGATAAAGCAAATTAACTTCAACTTGTGTTATAAGTCTGAAAATTCTCGAAAATCCACTTGTCAGTTCTCTGGACACCTTTGGGACTACCAAGGAACTTAAGATGCGAGGACGGCGGCGGCAGCCAACTCGTTGCTTAAAAATTGAATTCGCGTTTTTTCAATATTCATCGCGATTATTCTAACTCATTTATTTTGTAAAGTGTATGCGAACTCTCCTGGAGTTGAATTCCTAACTAAGAGTCTTATAAGTTCAGGAAAAATGTTTACGTCCTCCATAAAATGTGAAATTAGGCAATTTGACATCGTAGTCGCGCAGTGACGACAAAGCTAGAACTGCCGGTTGCGTAACCGTGATGAACGCACGAAGAGTTGTTGCTTTTCTGACGTTCTCGCTTCCGTCGCGGTCGCCGTCGTCAGTCTTATGGTCCCCTATGACCGATGAGCAGGGCAGGACGTCCGTATTAGATAGCGGCCGGTCTCATAGAGGTGTCCGTTTATAGAAGAGATAAGACTGTATCCGTACTGATCGTACATGTCGAGTCTAAACGTCTGATCGCAGGTTAAGTGTCTCTTTAGCTATGCATAACATAATTATTATATAAATCAAGAAAAGATGTGCCGTTTGTCTCTAAAGTAAAAACTCAATGAAATATTCACTTACATTCCCACTCTAAGTAAGAGCAGTGTAAGAGGACCCTACCACCTGGTGGATAAGTTTCAACGTATTAAAAATAAAATGTCTCGGCAGACGGAACTGGCGTTTTAAATATGCTGCTACTATAGGCATCAGGTGGAGGGAAAGTCCCGGGGAAAAACCCCATGACAATTGAATCAGTGACCCAAGGTTATGCATGACCGGTGCCTTTAAAAGATCAGGCCCAATTTTATCAGTTCTCATACATTCTCCCTTATGTCGTCACGCTGAAATTTACGCTTATTATCGCAAGTTTTTATTGTGCTTTGGAAGCAGTTTTTTATTTTATTAAAAATGAGTCTCATCCCATTCGAATGATGTCATCTTGTAGAATGAAAAGTACATTTGTATATTCATTCCGGCTCCCAATGATCATTAATTAAAGTACATTCCCACTTTATTATATTTAGGCATAGAATTAAAACGAAAATTGAGAAATATACCAATCAAAAACACCAAGATAACCTTTAATGAAAGCGTTCTCAATTGACGAAGACGGAAGTCGACGAGGGTTTTTGCTGCCATCCCTCACTGTACTAGTGAGTTAGCAGTTAAAGAAAAAAATAAAGTCAAGCTTGGCTTGCTACAATAAAAAGGCCCGGTTCAGACGCCGCTCCACTCATGTGCCGAACCTAACTTATGAATTAAGTATGGCAAAAGAGCGGCATCTGAATCAATTTGGTACGGCAGTTTTAGTTTGGTGCGGCAAAAGCGTTAAGTTCGACAGAGTGTGTCGAACTTTTGTCGAACTTAACTTTGGCTCGACACACGGTACACCGTCTGAATCAGAAGTCGCGCCAACGTCGCTCCAAAGTCGAACTTATTCAATCAGGTTCGGCACATGAAAAGTACGACGTCTGAACCAGGTCTAATGTACTTTGAGCTACGTGTGCTTCGCTTTGGTTCAGTGGCAAATTAAAGGCAACCCAGTATAAATCCCACGTGTGACAAAAAAGTTTACTTGTGCCTGAGTGTTAATCCCTGGCCGTGCCCACAGGAATTTTGAGTTTCTTTTCTCGCCTTGCCTCCATGCATTTTGTAAAAGTGGGTCATTCGCGGATGATGGCAGATGAAACACTTTTAAGGGCATTGTCAGAGTGAGGTACCGGTACTCAATCTTAAATTACTTTTTGCTTACGTAGGTAGAGTAAACTTTCTAGTTCTCGCATTTTGCTTGTGTCTGCTGTTTCTTGGTGCCAGTATTGCCGGTTTTCACCGTCCCGTCATCAAAAATTAAGATCAAAATCGTTGAATAGAAGGAGTCTAGCATCTTGGAAATGAAAGGTGTTCTCATTACGCAAAGACCGTTCGCAAAGTTCAGGTCAGTGCACTTTTTCATATGCGAGATATTAATTCGGGGAAACGATTTTCCCAAATTTATCAGAGCGTTGTACGGAGACATGCCCGTCCGGATGAAACTTTCATGAACAAATATTGGAAAGAAAAAAAACGGATGAAACTTTCATGAACAAATATTGGAAAGAAAAAAAGAGACTGCCCGCATTGTAGGGCGGGTGTATTGAAATACTGGTTTTCGAAAATCCCGCGCCAAAGGAAAAAAAGGAAATTGGTTGAAATTGTTTAGTGAGAGGTTAGAATGTAATTATAGGGAGGTTGGCCATACCGATGACGGGTTTCGAGGATTCGAGATTCTACAGTAAATCTCTCCCTCGAGATCAGGAATTGGGTACATTGTTTTTATGCTTCGGCGCCCGTTTGCAATAAACTTCCTGCAAGAGTACCCACGTGATGTAAACAGTGACTAGTTTTAATCGCCATGCTGTCATCAGTTTTTTCGGTGTTGCNGGTTAGAATGTAATTATAGGGAGGTTGGCCATACCGATGACGGGTTTCGAGGATTCGAGATTCTACAGTAAATCTCTCCCTCGAGATCAGGAATTGGGTACATTGTTTTTATGCTTCGGCGCCCGTTTGCAATAAACTTCCTGCAAGAGTACCCACGTGATGTAAACAGTGACTAGTTTTAATCGCCATGCTGTCATCAGTTTTTTCGGTGTTGCTAGCGGAAAATTTCCGAATGCCAACGTATAGCTACTAGCAAAATTGTTACACAAGACAATTATGTTTGAAACACAGGAAAAGGTTATCAGAAAGAATTCTTTGAAGCTGTTGTGGTTGATAGGCGGTAAGGTGGAGCAATTCTTTCAGTACCTTGCTAGTTTAGGGATTATAATTGTAAGCCATATTAGGCCTTTGCGGTAACGTTCACGCAGTTAGAAAACTTTAGTTCTTGATTTGTGCTGTGGTCTTAACGGATGAGCTATAAAAACTACTTTACACAACATATTAGCTTGAAATAAATCGTACCTACCGTATAATCATGGTGTACTGCAAGGTACTACATGAAATTGCTTGTTCTGCATAAAATAATCAGTTCTATTTCATGTTTTGCGTCTATAAGCGATATTCGTTAGGTGCTGTTGAGTAGAATCGTGCAAAAGGAATTCTAAAGTAAACGTTTCCTCGGCTCAGTGGGATTAGGTTAGGGTTACCCTGCCATGTAACGCACAGTTGCATGTTTTTAGACAGAGAACTGGTATAATTATATTGTGCTTCAGAAGAACCAGGAAAATATGCACATGGTTTCGATCTACGTTTTCATCCTTTCCCTATGCAATTGTGGAATCGTGAAAGTTCCCGACCTTTCCGTTTCCTTCCTAGCGCACGTTAATTTCTTGTTGCACTTTGGAATCTTTGCTGAAAGTCCACTTTCTAGTATCGACAGTATCAGATAGAATTTGCATATCTGTGTAACGCGCAAATGTAAATTCTTTACCAAACAATTAGATATTGAGTCGGTGAAGCGAGTCTATGTTATTTTACTTAATAGCATAAAATAAGCTCTTTTGTTAACCTTTCATAGAGACGCATTAGGCTCTTTACGAGAGATTGATCATGTGCCTAGACGGACACAGGAGGCTAGTTCTCCTGGAAAGATACTGACATAAAATAGGAAAAACGTTTAAATATATACGAGTCCCGTGGCTCCTTTTTTGATTACAGTTTTACTGATTATCGACAAGAAAAAGGAAAAAGATTTTTGTTGTTTAGGTGACTTTAAGCTAAACTAATCCTCCCACGGGTATGGAAAGACCTACATGCTTGCCTTGTAACTTTGTAAAAGGCGACTGAGCATGATTTTCCGGATGTGATTACGGGCAGCACCGTTCTATCCATGGCCAGTAGCCTAGCCGTTCGAAGGAAGAGGCAGTCTACCCGTATTGACGGCTAATATGGATGATGCGGGTAATTAACCCATTCCCGTACAAGTAAACGGTGTATCTGTTAAGGTCTCTATCAGTACTTGTATTGTTATTGTACCAGTGCTTAGAAATGTATCAACGCTTCTTTCAATTTAAACTGGTTTATCAGTTTCGTCTGTTTTCAATTGTTACACTAACGTTTTCAATTATCATTTTTCATCCTCAGCCATTATCGCAAGATCTGCTTGGTCAAATGAAGGTACAGAAATGTCAAATAGTTTGTAAAGACTGAGTTGCCTAGAATCAGGGACAAAAGTAGTTGACACACTTGTCTAAAACGTGTTCTTTTATCAACAATTTCATTCAGTTATATCATTTCATTCTGTTTAAACGCCGTAAATCCCCCAACCCCCAAATCAACATTGTTTGCAGTAAGAGAAAGACTTGTGGGTCTAAAGCAGAACATTGATTTTTGGGGAAGGGGGTGGGGGTACACAGGGGGAGCGGATAGGTAGGACCACTATGCAAAAAGGGGCCATTTTATAGAAGTGTCTTGACACTTTTGTCCCTCATTGTAGATGGACAGAAATAGATGGTTCATTAAAAGCATTTACGTTGCAACAATGAATTCATTTTCTTTAAATGCTAAGAAATATCCTGCGAGATAAACTACTAATGTACTGGCCTAATCTAAGTACCTAACTGAAATCTACAATAAGAAACCTTAAAATAGTTGTAAGGACATTGCGAAATTCAAACGAGTAACAAGAAAGGGCGGCTGTCTCCTTTAGTGTTGTAAATTTATTAGGTAGCTGTATGTAGATTTCATGTCAAACTGATTTAAGTCGGAAATACATTTTCATGATTAAAAACACATTTACAGTGCTTTATTTCTTAATTTATTGGAGTTGTGTAATCATTCACACCATGCAAGATCCTATACCGATGCAGATACGTTAGACAGTCTGGCACGTTGGCACGAAGCACCAAACGGCAACAACACCTAACAACAGGAGCAAAAAATGAAAATGGGTTAATGACTAGATAAAGATATACTCACCTACAGCAAATATAGTTTCACTTCAGGAATTTGATAGAGTTTAAATTTTCATGCAAATCCTCAGACTCTAAGATATTGATTAGACTCATTTGAATGTTTTTGATCTTAGAAAAGACACAGACACTCCTCTTGAACCCCTTGCTTTAGCTCATTTCGTTCAACTTTTCAGTTTGCAGTGAAATAGTTTATCTTGGTGGTGACTTCGGAATACACCGAGGAAGATTTTCAAGCCCAGGTTATCCGTCCGGGACCTACCCGAGTAGGGAGAAATGTACGTGGATAATAAAGGTACCATTGAATTACCGTGTTTTACTGCACTTCGATGGTCTGGACGTGGAATCCTGTCCAACTGCAACGAACAATTGCGCGTGCGATTATGTGACTGTATCCGATGGACAGCTATTAAGAGACAGACTTCTAGCAAAACTCTGTGGAACTAAGCCTCCCTCCGATATTATTTCCAGTGGAAGGTTTGTTAGAGTTGATTTAGTGACGGATGAGTTAAATGAAAGGAATTTCAAAGGTTTCTCTGCGCAGTTTTATTCCATTTCACCGGATGGCGCTACACCTACAAGTATCGATGAACGAGATACTGGGAACAACAAAAAGACGGTACCACCTGAGCAGGATGGCCCCGAAAAAGGTAATCAGATTCTCATCGATCGTAATGCTCTTGATCTTTGTCTATTAAAGACAGATAATAAGAGAAGGTATGACCTGACAGTAACAATTGTCTCACGGAACTAATTGGAGATACGTTTCGGATCAAATTGTAATTTGGGTTGACTTTTGGGGAGGGAGGAAAACCGGGATGCTTACAGTTTGTACAAACCGCTCGGGTGGAAGTCTTGCGCAATACTGTATTACAGGGATTTTTAAAAAATCGTCGGGTTAATGAACAGAGGAACTCCCTGTGTTGAGACCCTTTACTACCAAGGCGAGTGCAATGCACTCCTTTAAGCGCCAGCTCCTCACAGTACATGTGGTAGCTGTTGGCTGGGACTGTAAAACAGTCTCGTGCGATGCGTATGAAGTCGTGGATCGTCTAAATTAATAGGCCGCTGCCCGGGTGATATGGCTGTGCGCATGCACAGGTACTGGCCATACCGCGGAGTTGAGTAGTGTGACCATTGCTTTCAGATGGTTTATTATGTGCGTTTTGTTTGTCTTAGGTGGTAGCAGCACTATAATGATCGCTGTCGTGTGTAGTCTTGGTGGAGTTGCAATAGTCGGCATAATTTTAGTCTGCATTTATATGAAGACGAGAAAGCAAGCCCAAGCAAACCCCGCACCCAGAGGACATCCCAGTGCTTCTTTCCAAAGGACTCAGGAACCCTCACGACCCCCACCTCCCTACTCATCAGTGGTTTCTAACGCACCCCCTTCTTACTCATCAACGGCCTCCCTAGGGTAAACACGACCCAAAGCCATGACTGGCTACTACCCCTTGGGCTACAACTATGTTATTAGAAGAAATGCGATATTTGTGATGGAAACCAGAAGATCTTACTACCCGTAGCCTGTGTACAAACGTCCCCACTCCCTCTCAGAAAAAATGGGGAGAAGAGAACTCTCACGATTTTTTTCTGCGGGGGGGAGGGACCGTTCTGTACACAGGCTAACCACCTGGCGACGGAATACGAGCTCCCCTAAAAAGGCCTTCGCATGGGAGGGTAGCGTGCGGGGGAGGGTGGATGATTCCCATATAAAGATGTTGCTGATACTTGTCGTCTCGGCTAGGGTTAGGGTTAGGCGGAGTCCCGGGACTAAAGCTCCCCTCCCCAAGTTTTCCAAAAAGGTAAAGACTTGATAAAAGGAGACAATCCCCAGCCTCCCTACTTCAAGTCACTAAGCAACCCCTCCCCCCTCCCCCTCCGTCCAAATGACGGTGTTAGGGCAATTGGGCCCGGTTCAAACGTCGAACTTTGCATGTGCCAAACCTAATCATTAGATTCGGCACATGAAAAGTTCGACGTATGTATCAATTAGGTTCGACAGATTTGTACTTGTGTCGACCCGCCGTTCTATTCGACTGCGCCAGTCGAGTAGAACAGCAGAAGTTCGACAGCGATTCAGACGTCGAACCTCCTCATGTGCCGAATCTAATGCATACATTACGTTAATATATTTTTTCAACTTAACAGCGCTTATGATTGGCTGTATAGTGAGTTGTGACACGTGAAGAGAACTCACAGAAGCTTGATGATCGTTAACAGCGTTCTCAAAATGGAGGTTTAATTTGAAACATGCTGAAACTGCACCCCCAGCTCAAAACGCTCGACTTCCAACTTGCGTTAACACTATCCATATATTCATTCATTATTTGTACGTCAATGTGATCGCCATTTCCTTGAACATGGACGGACCACAGCAGAAAAAGCTAATCCGACTTGGTGCCTATAAATGCTCAGTGAATACTCAAACTAGTGATTATTGAAACGAAATGGAATGAAAAAAAGGAATCGTTTTATATACCCCTTTAACAGTTCATTTTCATATTTTCAAGCGGGGAAAATTGTACGTGTTTACTTCAAAAATTAGATTCGGCACATGTTCAAGTTCGACGTCTGAATCAACTGTCCAACTTAATCATTTCGGTCGACCCAAACAGGTATTAAGTTCGGCAGATGAAAAGTTCGACGTTTGAACCAGGCCTTAGAGTGTTCAGAACGGAAACTCAGTTACCTGCTAAAGGTATCTGTTAAGGTGAAAGAGGATGGGTTCATCCCCTCTTGCTTAAACCAATGTAATTTTATTGAAAATGTACTGTATTTACCCTTTGAGAAATTAATTTTAAAATTATAATTAAACGTTTTACACTTTATATAGTCGTAAGTTCTCTTTTAATCATATGCAACTAAATTTTTTTCGCACGTAACTCCCTATATAATAAACTCACGGAATTAAGAACTACACGAATTTGGAATTGATTGCATAGAGTCATAGAAACGTCATTCATTGCTATCAATAATTTTTATTCTAATCAAAAAACAAGAAAATGGGGTTGTACTTCGATGTGTTACAGGTTATGTAGACAGGGGTTGTTATATAACAGTCTGAATTAAATTGAGAGATTATTGGAGCTGTCGGGAAATTTGAGGCTGTGAGCGCCGTGTTTTCTGTGTTGTGATTGGACTCGGTACACAGGGTACACTTTTTTTTTATTTGGTTGCGAAGCAAAAAGAAACGCCATCTGAACGAGAAGGTGACTTAAAAATTAAATACAAAGTTAACAAGGTTTCCAAAGGAATTTTAGAAACACTCCTGTCACACTACTTCTCTTCTTTTAACATTTTGTTACATTGTACAAGTTTCCTTGATTTTTTTGTTCGTGTTTTGATTGCCAGTCAAAATTCTGCATTGAGAGGAAAACACTTGTGGAATGCCGCTTTATAATGAAGTTGTATTTGTCTGTTTACACCTCCTCTATCTTGAGAAAAAAATCGATACATAAGAGAGTTTTCATTTATTCATATTCTTCCGGGAGACCCGTTGCTTTATTAGCATGAGTTCGCCTAAAAAGTCAGCTGTTGTAACCTATATAGAGTAGGCTCAGTTTCCTGCCGTCTTTAGGCATAGCTAAATCCTGACCATACAACTGAAATAAGAAATTGAGATTTAATAGAATTTGATGCTCACAAGGAACTTGACCCTTACTCCTAAAGTAAAGTTTATGTTTCACGTGACGACTAAGTAAAACAAAAATCTTTAGTTTACTTCCCGGCACGTGATGTTACTTGCGGTTAATTTAAGTTGTGATCAACATCTGGAGTGATAAGGTTAAAATATGTCTAAAAAAACAAATCAGCTTTTGCCATTGTTTTCAAGACGTCAATCATGTCTTAATCTGAAATCGAAGGCCGTGGGGTTTTTTCCCAGAAAAGCCGGAAGCAAATAGCGGTGTTACTCGCTGTGAGTGAAGCCGAATCACACTCCTCGCGAGAAATCACACTCATCGCAAGCCACAAAGGGTTGAAATCTGATTGTAAGTTGTGTTTTCGTCAACTATTTATTTTAGCAGTAGACAGCCCATTTGTGGCCCCGCCATTCGCGATACTGTCGAAAGCTGTGAGCGCTAGTTCGAGAACAGATGAGTACGTCGCAGGTAAGAGCAGTAATTTCTCAACGGCAAGCGGCTAGTTTAAGGTATGTATACTCGGAACTCTCCCTCTCTCTCATCATTTTTCTGTTGCACTAAGAGACACTTTAAACTTGAGGTATGTTAGGTAAAGGATTGGTGTGACAAATGATTCAGAGAATTATCAACGGCAACACAGGAACTTCGGTTGAAAATTTGATCTTGTACTTGGTCCAACTAAAAATATCGTAGCCTGCCTAGCTGGCGGTATTGTCTCGATGCGCGATTAAAGTTTTGGCGGCGAAGCCGTGATCCAAAAAAGGGAGTGAGGACGAGAGGCGTTTGTATTTCTATTTCTATTTCAATTTTCTATTTCTCGCGACTAACGCCGCTCATGACGGCTTTGCCGCCAAATCTCACTCGACTACTACACAATACCGCCAGCTACGCAGGCTAAAAATATCGTTGATAAACACAAATAGTTTTCCAGCCGTAGTCGTCAAGTCTTCATATGTGCGTCGACAAGTAGCTACAATCAATCAAGTAAATATATAGAGGATATTCGAACGAGTAGGATATCGACTTGACTGCACGAGAAGATTAAAATTCGTATACACAAGCGGAAATGTAATATTTTGTTTTATTATATCGACATCGATGAAATACCAGGACAACGATTTCTTGTTATTCCTGTTATTCGTTGAATCAATATACAGTCGACTCCATAAGACGGACACCTCTGTAAAACTGACACTTACGGTTTATTCCTACCTTTCTTTCCTCCCTCTATTTGACTCTCTATGAGACGGACACCTCTCTAAGACGGACACTTAGTGCCGGTCCCAAAGGTGTCCGTCTTAGAGAGAGTTGACTGTACATGTAATAAAACATAGATCTTAGGCACATGTCAATTTTAATTTGGGTCTGAATTAGAGAAAATAAGTAGGGTTTATCTGTATTCTGAATGTTATAGCCATAATCATACGAAATTTCATTTTTTTAAAAAAGGTTATGTAATTGTCCTTCAAAACGTGTAAAAAATTTATGGAAAAAAGTCAGGTGATGGATACAACGCCTGGCTCATGTGCCGTGGATAAATATACGAGCAAAATTTCAAAAATATTAATGTGTACCAAAAAGTTCAAGATCATTGTCTTAATTCCCGAGGAATGGTGTGTTAACTTTTTTTTTTGCAGTTTTCTCGCTTTATTATGTACTTGAATAAAAATGCACAATATTAAAAGACCTGAATTAATTCAGAGTGACCTTCAAGTTGCAGTTAACAATTAGTTCATGCGTCAGCGTGCGTATGTCGAGATACTGAACGCGTGGGAAGTTTGAAGAGCAACTCTAACCTCTTTCATGCTCTCCAAACTCCCCAAGTGCTCAATATCTCAACATACGCACAGCTGAAGCATGAACTAATTGTTTTATCACATTATCAAAGCGATCAATGCAGCAGCGGTCAAAGCAGTATACGCGTCAATGTCTACGTGACTAGATTTTTCCCGGGAGGGACTCCGCATATGAAAGGGGTGGGGATGCTCGTCGGAAATTTTGAATTAGACCCTAAAGGAGACCGATCTGGGCGGGGCCCAAGCTTTTTTTACCCCTAAAAGAGACCATGATAAAACACAGACAATATATATTTTTCGCGTGCAACCCTAAACGAGACCTTCACGGCTAAATATGATGGCGTTTTGCCCAGAACACCCTAAGTGGGACCAAAATGCGAAATTTATACCCCTAAGCGAGACGACGAGCATCCCCATCCCTTTCATATGGGGAGTGCCCCCCCCCCCCCCCCCCCCCCCCCTTTTTTTTTTTTTCCCCATTCTTTTTAATCATGGAAAAAATATTACAAAAAAAAAATATAATAAAAAATAAAGGGCGGGAAAAAAGATATATCCACAAAAAAACACTTTTTTTCCACCCCCACCCCCTC